TTATAATAAAAACATTTTATTGATATGCAAAATACCATTTTTCTATATTAATACTTTCTAAAGACCATGACATCTGGGACTTAAAGTTACTTTGAATATATATAATATAGTCAATTCCATATCCATCTTGCTTGATAATATTATAAAAACTTCTGAACAATTATTTTGGATATTTAAGAGAGGCAAAAGATACAATTTGGAAATGTATTTGGTTTTTTTTTTTTTTTCTTTAAATATGAAAATTTTCTTCTTGCTGCCAAATAAGCAATATAGTCATTGCTTATTTTTTAGCTCTTAATTTGAATTATACATCTTTAGAGTTTAATGTAAAATCGTATGATAAGATATTATTTGACTTTATGTTTTATAAGTTACACTCATCATGTTTAAATTGAAGAAGTTCTTTGCCAAACATGATATTGTATGTTGAAAAAATTAGATCTATTTTCTAATGATTTCTAAAAAAATAATAATATAGCTCACTATTTGGTGTTTTGAATATTTTAAGAGGTTCCAATAAATATTTAAGATTTCAAATTAAATTCTTTTAATTTTGAAACCACTTAAATAATTTTGAGAAAGTCTTCAATCAACTGATGTGTATTTAAAGACTCCACTTGATTCATTGTAGCTTTAGATTTTATAAATATTGCATCTTATTTGAATGCATAAGATAATTTATTAATTTAATATGCTTTTAATTTGATAGATATATGAATAGTGTACCAATCTTAATTTCTACCAATCTTTTTAATACTTATTAGTAACATGATGAGAACTTATCAAATTAGGATTTTCATTTCACAATATTGTTTAGAGCAATTATATCAGGGTTTAAAATCTAAGCTATATCTTGAAGTTTATATTATATCTATCTTTTGTCTTTTTAGTTAGTAGATATATTTATACTAATATTTGTTTTTAAATTTTAACTTATTTTATTTTTAGATTTAAATTCATTAAAATTTAAATACAATAAGATATTAGTGGTTAGTAGTTTGAGAGTTAATAACAGTACAAAGCTTATGTAAAGATTTTTTTATCTATTTTGAGCTATAAATTTAAAGATAATTTGAACTTCAAAATTTATTCTAAATTTATAGGTGAATTAATAGTTGATAAAAGTGATCTAGCAACTAAAAAGTTGACATTCATATTAAAGAAGAAAGTTACTTATCATTTAGGTAATTCTTTGGTCATTTATTTTAAAACATATGTTAGGTTATTTTCAAATTTTAGAGGTTATTGTAACCTAATATATCTAGCACAATGAAATTTTTTAATTAGATCCAAATAATTTGAATTTTATTTTATTTATTCATTATTTTTTTTGTAGCAAATTTAATTTCTACTTATTTAACCTCTTTAAGAATTTATACAAGTCTTATTTTGAAAACCATTTTTTAATTTACAAAAAATCCTACTTTAGTTAAAGATATCTAGTTATATTCTTTGAGGTCTAAATTTGACCTTTTTTTTACAAACTATCTTCTTTTAATCTCAATCTAATATTTTTTATAAATTATTTTATAAAATATAATACTAATTTTAATTGAAAGACAATTATATTGATTTATATCTATTCTACTATATCTTATTCTATTTATGATCCTATATTTGTAAATAGAAGGTTTGTTTAGAAAAAATACATAAAATATTGATATTTTTACTATGTTTAATCTATGAATTATGATTTCCAAAGAAAATCTCGACTAATTTTTTGATTATGTCATTATAATAGAGTTTAGATAAGATAATTGTATAGATACTTAGAACCATGGAAGTTTATAGAATTGGAGTTAGGTTAGTGGACTAAGTAGGATCCATTGTGGAACATTTTAAAAAGAGTTTAGGGCAGTTATTTAGGTGGGCCTATCATGGAACCTTCTAAAAAAGGATTTTAAGGTGGTTATCTAGGTGAAGCCGACCACCTACAAATATTCTAGAAAGTCCACAGTGGTAGGAGAAAGTATAAATAGGACTGGCCAAGGCTTTTTGGAACATCTAGTTAGATATGGCTTTGGATCTTTTTTCTTAGTAAAATTTGATTTTGCATCTTTCTGTTCAATTCTATTTTGTTTTGTTTTGGTTTGATTAGTTTGTCTTTCATGTCCTATTTTTTTTAGTTCTATTCTAGTCTGTTTTGTTCTATTTTGTGATGAGGCTTTATGTTGTTGAAGATTAGAAGAATCTTAGATTTTTAAGATAGTTTAGTCATGTTTGAATCATTATTTATATATATATATATATATATATATCCATACTTTTATTTTATAGTTAATTATATCATTACAAAGTACTTGGATTAAATCCAAATATGAGACTTTGTAATGTATATCATTGAATATCATTGACTTAATCAAAGTATTATATTAGTCAAAAATCAAAATCTCTCATTTCTTTTATTTTTATTTTATTTTTATTGTTAATGGAGTAATATTTTGTATTTGTCTTGTAATTTATAAAATTTTCCATCATTTTTATTATTTCTTGTATATTAGTAGAAGTAGATTTGTAATAAAAAATATTATTATCTATTAAAGGCTTACTTACAATAATATATTCAATTCATTGATTTATTTATAAATATATTTTTTTCTTTCCATCAGTTATCTTATTTTTTTATTATTTTTTATTTTTAATAATTTATTATTTCTATGAATCTATTTAAAACTTTGTTTCTAAATCATTCATTCTTTTTAGACTACATCTTCTTATATTTGCCTTATTCTTCTTCTATACTAGTTTAATCTATGTTTTCTATATTCTTTTGTTTTATTATATAAATTATATGATCTTTGTTGTTGTACTTATTAAAATTGGATTAAAAAAAAAACTCTTTAATTAAATAGTTTGTGATAAAACAAAATTAATCACTAATTTATTATAATAAATTTTTACATCTAAGTAATTAAATTGGTAATATAAAGTTCCACCTTCCATCTCATACTTGATTGCATTGCTTTACAAAATTGTGGTTCTAACAATTTTATGTTATTCAAATCTTTTTTCATCACATTGTCTATCTCAATTGCAACTTGAGTTGCAATAATTTTGAATTCTTTCTATAAATTTCTCAATGTAATTTATGTTAAAAAGAATTATATACCAAGTCTAAGTGCCAAATTTTTCATACATATATTATACAAGACCAAACAAGAAATTGAACAAAAGAGTTTTAACAAGAAAGCTAGTAAGAACTTAATTAAATCAAATAAGTACAACATAAACACCAAGAGAGGTGAGCTAGAACTACAAGAGATATATTATTAAGATTGATGATTTTGTCACCCTCGACTCCAATATATACTAGATATAAAGAAGCTTCTTAAGAAGTTCCTATTGCTTGAAAATGAAGCAATCCTAAGAAGCTTTTCAAACAACTTCTTTAATCTTTCTAGAATTTGCTAGAATATTCTAAAAACCTTCTAGAACTTCTAAGAATATGTTAAAACCTTCTATAATTTTAAAATCTTTTAGAATTTGATGGAATATTCTAAAATATTCTTGGGTTCTTTTGTTAGATATTTGTATAGTAGTATAGTAATAATAGAGTATAGTAATAGAACTAGGACTTTTTGTACAATATCTTCTAAATTCACTCATATGCAAAAGAAAGTGCTTTCTTTAATTGCTTAAACTTAGATTAACCAAATTGAACCCTTCATAAGATCTTCTTTTTCTGAGGCCTTGTTGTTGGTAGCCTTCTAACAAAATTTGAAATGATGACTTGTTTTTGCAATAAAGGAGTTTTGGTTGATACCACTAAAATTGAAAACTATTTATCAATGGTTTGTTCTAACCAAGAATCCGGAATAGCTGCGACTGTAGCGGTTTGATACGATTTCTCCCCGTTTTTTACTTGATTTCACTCCGATCAGCGTCTAGCTTCAATCGTGACTACTGTGTGAGCTATAGTGAAACAACACCTACAAAAATGATGTTCACAAATCTAGTTTTGCAGTTCACACTCATTCCACGAACAAAGGCGGAGCCGATCCCGTCCGCCATTGCAAAGTCTCTGAACTTGATAATGTGATGACGAAGCAGCTTTTCAACCTCAACTACAAATTGACAAATTATTTATTATTATTATTATTATTATTTTTTCCAGTAACAGTCGGCACGAGTGAATAAAGACTGGATGAAGTCTGCACCGAAATGCGACGAAACACGACCAGTGAGTTAGCCTGCCGCGTTATGGTATTAAATATTCTTTTTCGTTGTTTTTAGTTGAAGAAAAAGACCTAAATTGGAGAGTTCCGGATCGCGTGGATCCGGCTTGAAGGGGGAAGCTCACAACTCTTACACACTTGTCGGTCATATCATGCACAGCTGGAAAAGTTTGTTGAGGGAATATCGAATTTTGATCCGAATCACCGGCCCAGTGGGTGCGCGCAGGTGGAATTGAACCGATCTGCCTGATGTCGATACATAATTTGCCGTGTGATTGCGACTGATTCGACGATTGTGCCCTCCAACACCGCCTCATTCGCATTCCCCGGCTCGATTGAGCCTCTTGCGTTTAAGGCTTTAGTTATTCATACTTATTCATCAGTGAGTGGCTTTGTCGGGCAGGGGTCGGTGAATAATCGCGGTTTCCAGAATGTTTTCCCGTGACCCAGTTGGTTTTTCTGCAGGTCCGATTGACTGCAGATGAATGCACGCCGAACCGATGCAGCTGGCATGTCAGTCTTTGGGAAGGACCCCGATAAGCGTGGTATTATAGCGTGGTCAGATACCGATTCCGCTGTCGAGGATTATGTCACCTACTTAGAAGAATCCATGGCAACGTGGACCTGTGGTTGATTCTTCAACGACTGACTCTCTGCCGCCACTCCGTTCGCATATCAGGCTCTTGGATGGTTACACAATCAATGCAGGAATAAGCTTCATCAACTTTTATCAAGGCAAGAAAACTGCGAGCAAGGTGGGGGGGGGGGGAGGGAGTGTTTTCATCCATTACGCTAACTACTCCCAGCGACCCACGCATTAGAAAAGATGGAACTGATCTCTGATGAGGCTTCAAATGCACGAAACGTTTGCCTGCAACTAGTGCCGAGATCACCAGCCTGGAGCTTCGGAGAGTAGGAGAGTGTGGAACCCGCTCTGCTAACCTACGCGGGTCCAATCTGGTGTGTTGCAAGCCGACCTCGTTCATTAACCGGGATCTGCAGTAGATGCCAGAGATTGTTCTCAGAGATATTCGGAGATTCTCTTTCCTTCTCTTCGTCACCTCCCGAATAAGTCGATTCCTTCGCGGCGCAGTTGGATGAGTCAAGTCCCAAGGTGGTTGCCATCTGCTCCATGTTAGGAGACTTCCCTCACCATTTAGCTCTCTCGTTTTGCAGCTCCTACCTTCTAGCTCTCCAATACTTTGTTGGCTTTCCGTCTGCATGGTCTGTTCGGGTTGGTTGAGATTTTGCAACGACGCGAATTGACGATCAGTTCGTAGCCACCGGGCTCGCTGCTTGTCTATCTCTGCTGAGGAACGAGTGTGTTTGTCTGAACTGGATGTGTACTCGGCGCGTATTTGTTAAACGGGTGCTGCTGTTTTAAATGAGGGCGTTCTGGTCTGAGAAAAGTGAGAGCTCAAGTGTCTTGTTGGTTTGAAGTTGGAGAAACTCAAGTGGGGGTGGGGGTTCTGTCAGCGCCAAATAGTTCAAGGCAAGGAGGGATGGCGTTATTCGGGACGAAGACGGTTCCCGACGAGGAAGTGGGACTCTTGCAGCCTAGCGTAGGGGTAATGCCCCTGGCTTTTCAATCCAACAACTTGAGCCCCAATGGAAGTCCGTCAGTTCATCGGTGGTTTCTTTTTTTTTTTTTTTTTTTTTTTTATCTCTGATTAGAGATGGCAGAAATGTCACTTGAGATTGAGGGATAGAGATGTCTGAGTAATCTCTTGTAGTTGGATTCTCGGTTCAGACGCTGGATTAGGAACTTAGAGACTACCGTCTTGCTTTGTTTTCATGGTCACTTCTGCATAGTGTGGAAATCTAACATTCCAAAGTTAGATTGCAATCTGAAAGGATTCCGAAGCCTTGTTCACATCCTAGAGTTTCTTCCGGTATGTTTCATTGTAGGAAGCGGGCAACGACAGAGCAAAAAGACCTCTAAGTCTGGCGGCGACAACTATCACTGCCACGCTCGTTGGCTTTCTCGTGGGATGCGTAGTCTCATTGTATGTTTTTGGTCAGTACGATTCTGAGACATCTGCTCTGAAAGCTGTTGTCGGGCGGCAGACGTATCCGTTGAATTTTTTGGTGGTGGGTGATTGGGGTCGAGAAGGCGAGTTCAACCAGACCATGGTTGCGGAGCAGGTGAACAGACCTCTTCTCAATCACAATGCTAACTGCAGTCGCGGTTGCGTAGTTGGCAGTTTTCCTTGCGATTCTGGTGGGGTCTAGTCGTTCTCTTCTCACGAGATGAGTACGTAAGAGAAGGACGTAACAGAGTCTTGATGCTGCGTAGGTCATTGTCCAATCGTGAAATTAGTGAATTATTTTTGAGCTCGGGGATCTTTCATTCCCCTCTAGTTCACGCGGGTTCACGTTCATCTCCGGTCCTATTCCTGCACTTCTGTAGGCTATCTCGTACGTTTAAGCTATTCTTCACCTTAAGAGGCCCTGTTCCTGTCGTTAGTTTGAAGGTTGGGAATCTAACATGTTTTTCGCTGTGAAGCGCAGATGGGTCGTGTAGGGCGGCAGTTAAAAATCAATTTCGTAGTTTCTGTTGGGGACAATTTCTACCAAGCTGGTTTGAAAGGTCCTAACGACCCGAAATTCCAAAACTCTTTCTCGAAGGTTTACACAGCAAGAAGCCTGCAAACTCCATGGTATTCAGGTGCAAATTTGCACTTCCCAAGATGAAATCTTCGTCGAGACAGTATGAGCATTTCATCGAGCTTTGCTGTGCTCGAAAGAAGTGAAGTTAACTATTACTTCTTCGTCTTCTTTAGTACTTATGATTTGTGCTTCAGTAGGACTGATGTCAACTTCCTGGTGATGCAGTATTAGGGAATCACGATTACTTGGGAGATACGTTGTTGCAAATCGGAGATGCTCTCACAAAAAAAGACAATCGATGGTTTTGTGACCGATCCTATCTACTTAAACACAACCTGTGTGGTCCTTCTCACACAGGTAATTCTATTATTTAGCTTTTGTTAATGACAGACTAGTTCCCACATTTTGCAAGTATATATAAAATTCATGCGAAATTAGAATCAATGGTGTTGTATGATAGCGACTGTAATGTTCGGGCAGTTCTCAATATGCTGAGGTGTCTCCTCATAGAAAGAAAGTCTCGACTGACCATGCTTTATAATACTTATTTTCCAGGACATTGTCACAAGTTCGTGGAGTTCTTCTTCATAGACACAACTCCTTTCGTTGACAAATACTGGAGCCCCGAACAGAAAAGGACGTTCGATTGGAGGGGTATAGGACATCGACAAACGTATCTTGATACACAACTTGAGGTATGTCTTGACCTACTTCCGTTTCAAAGACCATCTCTCAAAAGCAACTACAATATCTAATAGTTAAAAATTATTTGAAGCTGGGTCCATTCTAAGACCTTGATCACACGATCCCATGGCTTAGAAATTTAGATCTTGATGTGAATTAAGGCTGCAAATTAGCTATACAGATTCTCTTTTAAGAAGCTCCTCTGAATGGGAAGTTGACCACGCACTGAGATATTCGTCAAGGATTTACAGCTGCCAGTCAAACCTAATTCCAAACCCCTATTTCTGAACTACAGAAATTGAACTCGGGGTTGAGTTCCTCCAGTGCTACGTGGAAGATTGTTATAGGTCACCACACGATACGGAGCCTTGGTCGCCACGGTGACACCCACGAGATGGTCAAGCAAGTGCTACCAATCCTGGAGGTCAGTTTATTCTAGCCTGAATTCGAATCCCACATCTCAAATGTTGGCCAGTAAAGTCCAGTTTATTTCTGACTTGAACGTGGTAGAACACTGTCCTCGAAACCCGTCTTTTTGAAGCACACCAATCTTTCGTGAACTCAAACAATACAAAACTCTCGATCATGTTCATGCAGAAACTTAAAGTTGACATGTACCTCAATGGCCACGACCATTGCCTCGAGCACATCAAACGAGAGGATAGCACGGTCCATTTTGTCACCAGCGGAGCAGGGTCCAAGTCATTCCAGGGCCTTCGGCAAGGCAAACCTGAAGATGGGCTTCAGTTTGGTTACGACGGACAGGGCTTCATATCCGTGTCCATGGCAGCTCAGGACCTCCGCATCGATTTCCACGACGCGCTCGGACACAAACTCCACCAGCTCACGCTTCACAAGTGAAAGAGAGCTGATCTCAGCCACTGGCTTCCCCTGTAACATGCTCCTCAGAAAACACCACGCTCAGGCACATAATTCTCATGTCTGCTCTATGTATTATTATTACACAATTCAACCGAGCTGTTAGTTTTTCTAGTGATACTGAAGAGTTAGAGATCCTCCTCAGCTACGAAAGCAGGTCAGATCGTTGCATTCTTTTGATAGTGAGCCATGCTCATGCATCGAACACTTGTCGATTCGAACAGAGTTTTGGTTTTCTGTACGGATGACTCTTGTATAAAAGACCATGGATTCAATTGACCAAAGGGCTGCCAGTGAATCTCATCTTGGTCCCTGTGAAGATTTCTCTTTTGCATGACATTCCATTTTCTGAGTGTTGTATAGAATCTGCAACACACACATAAATGCCTCTATTTTTTTGTATGTCTCTACCTGCTTTTGCTTACGATGTTGATTCGAGGTTTGGGGTTTTTTTAGTATGGAATTTTTCAGTTGGTGTACTCATTTTTCTTGCAGTTTTATGTTTTAAGATTGGTGATATGACAATTGGCTGCCACATTGTTGAGGAAACAAGCAGTGTTATCTGTATTTAACTAGATCTTGTCAAGTACCTTTTGAAACACATTATTTAGTTTTTTGCTGATCTTCATAGATACAACTGCTTTTATAAATTTTCTTTTTACTTAAGAGCTAATCTTTAATGATCTAAGATTATTGTTGACTATTTTGGTGCATTTTTTTAATGGTAACTACATACTTTGTGGGAAAAAACAAGTCCATGTTTATTGTTTAATCTTCACACAATTATTCAATTTTTATATGATTAATCAATTTAAAGAAAGAGAAAAAGGAGAAAATATCATGTCATAGAAATTACTTCAGTTTTCAAAATATTTATTGATATTCAAAATATCGTATATATTTTTTTCTAAATTTGGAGTATTGCTGTTTTATGGACTAAATCTTTTACAAGAATGTTTGTAAACTTTCATTAAATATTTTAAATAATTGTACAATTGAGAAAAATATTTTGATTAAATTCAAATATTCATAGTAAGTTAACAATTGATGAAAATTATAATTTTTTAAAAAATAATTTATTTAATTTCATGGAGATTTTCTTTGCTTGTATGTAAATGTTGCAAAATAGCAACTTTTTAAAAGAATTTAGATAAGAAAAATAGAAATTATTTCTAGCTGGTTTTAATATAAAAATTAATCAATTATTTAATTGTGTGCTTTAGTTAACAAAAAAGGAAGATTTTTGTAGATTGCAGATTATTAAGCATTATACACTAATGACTTATTTAAATCTTTTAATTTTTTTTCAAGATTAAATTATTTTTCATTATGATGTAAATGTTTTATATGTTGTATTTATATGATTACAATATAAAATAACTTATCATATCTATTTGAATGAGCACAAGTTTTGTAGTCCTAATTTTTTAATTTTTTTTCAAGATATACATTTAAATACTAAATTTGTATATTTGAACCAAAAAAAACTATATATATATATATATATATATATATATATATATATATATATGTTCTTATAGAAACTAGTATTTTTGGGCAAAAAAACTATAAAATTTTAATTTGTGGTTGTAAAGAAAAAATTAACCACTCCTAAAGAAATATTGAATAAGAAAAAAGAATATATATAGATGTGCATAAAAATATAATAATTTATATTTCTTCAATATTATTAGCAAACACAATTCTTATTTATTAAAATAACTTAAATAGCTAAGTTAAAAGAATTTTGAGATAAATTATATTTACTATAGTGTTTTTATCTTTACTATCTTTAGAATATAGAATCTTGATTATGTTTGGAGAAGTGTATCATAAAAGAAGAATGGACAATTGTCTATATGCAAATACATAGATTCTAAGATCTATTCTTACATTTTTCAGTAATTATCTTTGAGATTTGTTGATAGTCATTACAAATGCTAGCTTTATCAAAAATTGCCTTTATTATAACTTGAACAAAATGTTTGCAGATCATGGGCATAATGTAATCCTTGGAAAAAAATAAAAAAAAATAAAAAAAGCCTATTTTTTTATTTTATTTATAATAGTCTCTAGATAACAATATTGCATTTATAACTTGATTAGTTAATTGTATAATAATTAAGCATGATCTATTGTAGAGCCTTTAATGCACAACAATGTTTTGTAATATCATAATATAACATTTGACCTTTAGCTCTAAGTTAAACTATGGCAATTCAAGTGGGTTTAAACAATTCAAATATTTAGTTGGATAGGAATTGGCATTGTCTTCCATAATTGCTATATTTTTGTTGAGATAAATATAAGAAATTCTAAAAAATCTCTCTATAATATTCTTATTTGAATCATTAATATAATAATAATGTACAAATAAAATTAACTTGTCAATAAAATATTCATTTTTAAGTATCTTTTATTATTTTAATTTCAAATGGATAATTTAAATCAAATCATTTGATGTTTGACTTACTTTTACATATTTTGGAAGAATCATTATATTTTTTAATAGATTTATAATTATTAACTTATTTTTAATTTGAAAATAATATTTATCCTTAGATATATTAAACATAAATGTTATATTATAAAAAAGATCTTAAAAATAACATACATGTATAATGCATACCTTCAAGAATTCTTCACTAAATAATTGATTTTCATGAGATTCATCTTCTAACTATATATTTTTGGTCAACTTGTATACTTTAATATAAAACCAAATCTTTGGTTGTTACAAAAAAAATACATCAATTATCTCCTCTCTTAAGCCTTTAACAACAATAAAAGAAATTGCCAAAAAACTCTATCAAAGGCTATAGTAATTTTGCCAAATAATTTATCAATGTAATTTATGTCTAGGATAGTTATAGCATCTTCCTTAGCATAATTGCAATGGTGCATTGGTACGTTGTCGTATTACGAGCTATCTTCCTTGAGAACATATTGGATGTTTGAATGTAGAAGATAAAACAATGTTTTGCAAGTATCCAAGTAGGTTAGTGGGTTTCAACCATCTAAATACAACTATTTCGGATTTCGATGTAAAAGCTTAATCCCAATACAAAGTTCTTAGAAACATAATTTTTAATAACTTCAAGATACTATAACCATAAAGTTTTTTGTTATTTTTTTAATTTAATTTAATTTAATTATTATTATTATTATTATTATTATTATTATTATTTATTATTATTATTATTATTATTTATTATTTTTTAAAAATCCTAATCCTAGATAGTGAGCTTCGGCAAGCTGTATCAGAATTCTCAATCTGATCGTCCGATTGTTGTAAACTTCTACCACTAGTCTCTTTGCAAGCCTTCTAAATGCTCAAGAAGTTTCAATCCAATCTAACTTACAGATTGTAAGAAAATGCCATAAATCCATATTGATGTATTTTCACTGCCGTTTAGAAGTCCTTGATTTACCATGCCAAAAGTCACCTTGTTCCAGTTGGTAGATCTCCAGATATTACAAAAACCCTAAACAACCCCAATTTGCTAACTTTCGATACCTCTTTATACTAATGGTCAAATATCTTCTATTTGTTTCGTCAGATTAACACAAACTTTTGCATGCACTCGGCATACTCAACCTTTTAGACACCTCTAAATTTCAACCACAGAAATTTCTCCAATTTCACAAAATAGTCAAGAGTATCAGCCTTAACTTTATTACAAAAAAAAATCCAAATCACCAATACAAACATTGACTTTCAACAACGATTACAAAAGTCCTTCCAAATCCTATGAAAATCCAATTCTACACCTTTCAGAGGAACTTGAAGCTAGCTCTCCAATCCCAAAATCATGATCTCCAAATGCCCCTTTTTTTATCCTCCCCTCCCTTTTAACTCTGTGTGGTCCCATTTTCTCCCGCCCTGGACTCCAAATTGGAACAACCGATGGCACTTCCTCGGAATTCTTGTCTATAAGAGGATCTTTCCACAAAAAAGATGTTTCTCCTAAAACGGCATAGAGAACAAAATAGCTTGAAATGGAACCAAAGCCTCCGTATTCGGGACCTCATTGGGTTGCCCAACCAAGTCAGGTCTCATACTGGGTAAGAGGTCTATACTAGGACTTGGATTGGATGTCCTCGTAATTGGGTCAAATTGACCCTTCACATCAGACTCACCCGAATATTGAATTGGTCCTTTTTCCTATTGCCGACTCTTGGTAAGAATGGCTCGGACTCATTCCACCTGATTTAGCAGAGAATCTTGAGGACCTTGATTTATCTCCTCAGTTTTTCCTTGGCTTTGGATCTGCTGATCCCGTTTATTGAAATTGGATGGAGCATTACATTGCTGATAAGTATGCCTCGATTGCTTGCAATTCCTACACACTAGCCCGTAATCATTGGTGGCACGTAATCATTACTAGCGCGTAATCATCACTAGCTTTGGGATTGGAACATTCATTGGTTTAATGACCAACCTGTCTGCAACGGAAACGATGAAGTGGTATTCCTGTACCCCCATCATGCATATTCGGTATCTCCACTAGTATATACTTAGTAGACTTGTTCTATATAGGGTTGGAAAATGATCCTGGTTGTCCGTTGGTATAGAGGGTACTTGGTTGGATGACGCCAGTGGGGTGACATTAACTGACCTTGAATATTGGCACTAGAATTGGTCACTGTTTCTAACATCCAAGATGACTAAATATTAATAATTTTTTTTTTTATTTATGTTTTCACTATATAGTTGTGTTATAATATGACATCAACTCCCTCTGAATCTGTGCATCCTTTGGTATGCACCAAATAACCCAGTTGTTATTTGATTCATAATACGTTTACTAAGTCTTTGTTCAAATACTCTTCATCATTTTTGCTATCCATGTCAAATTCATCTTCCTGTTGAAGAATATCTATATCTTCACCAAGGTTTGTTTTATTTATTTCTGTATATCTTTGTTTAAAAATTTTTACTTGCTTCCCTGCAATTGGTATTTTTAACCTTATTCCAATTAACTCTTGCAATGAGTAAGTTGTATTATCATGAATAGTTGTTACTACATACAATCCAAACCATTGTTTAGAGAACTTCCTTAAAGCACTATGTTGATTGTCCAAGCTACTATCATAGATCAAAACCCAATCACCTTCTTCAATTGCTTTAGGCCTCAATCGATGCTGCTTATCAAATCGTGTCTTGTTTTGTAACGTCGTTCTTTTTAACCTTTTTAATGCTATTTGTACATCTTCTGATCTTTGCTCTAATTTTTGAATTCTAATAGCTAGAAGTTCTTTTCTTGTCAATCCATCTTCCCATGGTAGCACACTCTAAGTAAGTACTTTTCTTCAATTGGCATAATTGATTTTTGA